AATAATTATGTGGTTACTTTTCTGGAAGTAGAAATAAATTTTATCTGTTATATGCCATTTAGGAGGATAAATGGGGGCCAAGAAAAACAATAAGATAACAGGTCCATATGGAGAATTTAATCTGCAACCTTGATCATACCAGAAAAATGTTGTAATATATTTAGCCATGGGACACAAGAAGACATGTTAAAAACATTCCCTGACTTTATTTTAAAGGATGATTTTGAAGCTGGGTATATATTAAATGAACTTGGACATCTTCATTACCCAATAACTGTATTTTTATTCTAGTTGTTTAATTTTGTAAGTGAAACTCTCTTGCAATATTGAATGATGAGTTAGGATGAACAAAAACAACATGACAGCTAAAGTGTAACCTTTTAAACCTCCTTTGGGAAAAAAAAAAGATGACTTGTGGATGAAAATCTTTCTAAGTCAGTTATTTACTCTGCTTGTTTTCTTAAAACTGATCAAACTATGGAACTTAAAATAACACTTCCGTAATGACCTACGACCATCATGAGGAGTACTAATCGTAGTACCATAGCAACTTCAATGATTATAGAAGTTTGTAGATCTGTTTACCTTTATTAAATAGCTTAGTTCCTGTGATTTTTGAGTTTCTTTGTACGCTTTTTACAGATTTTCTTCCATTTTCTTGCTGACACATTTAACTGCTATCGTTGTGCAAGTCTTCGCAGCTGCTTCCCCTTCTTAATTTGCTGCTTCCTAACAGGCAGTGGGTTTGGTAACCAAATAACAAACTTGTTAAAATTGTCAGTAAAATAAGATTTTGTCAGGTCTAAGAGAACACTCATAAGAGAAAAATGCATTTGCTTAGTTGCATGGGCTCTGTGGTTGCAACTTTGATTCTGCCTCGAGTTTTGTTGTTTAAATCCTGCTTCTCAGCTCTGTCAAGAGTGATGAGGTTGTCACAGGGCTAAATCCTGGGAGGTAGGATATTGCCGTTTATTGAGTAGACAAACTACCATATCTACTTTGGGTATGTTATGAAAACAAATTAGGTCATGTCTGCAAGAGTTAGGGTGCACATCTGGAGAAACGCAATAAGGTTATTCAAAGTTAAATAATATTATTCAAATAAATAATATTCTTTGAAATTTAAGAAGTCACTAAATTGCACAAGTTCTTGGACTTGAAAGGTATTGCCATTTTTCATGTTATCCTGACTTCATCAAAATGTCTGTTTTGAAATGTAATAGCTTATTCATCACGACCTATCCTGTTTGGAAATGCAGAAAAAACATGGTTATTTTTACTTGATTCTATCCAGGCAGGAAAGTACCCTACCACTTCACAGCCTAAAACAAACAATTATTGGTGACGGTCTCATTATAAATTGCTTTTCACTGGCATAATGAGTCCTTTTTTCTTTTTTAAAAAGAGACTTAGATAACATGAAACATATGAACCAAATTGTGTTTGCCTGACATAAGCTGAATTTAAAACTCTTGCTGAGATTACCACCCTTTTAATACTTTCACCTATTCCTTTGTGACACAAAGGCTGAATTTTAAAAACTTTTGTACAGCAAAAGCAATTTATACACATAAAAATACTTGGAGTGCCGTAGGGTTTGTCATTGTAGCAGAGAGACGGAAGAGAGTTTGATTTTAAGTTTAGGCTTCAAACATTTATGGCCTAAATGGGGATGTCATTCTGAATTAAGCCTCAAACAGTTTTTTTTTTATAGGCAAGCAAGGGTATCATTTCTAAGATGAGCTATAAAAGAGTGAAACAAGGCCCCAGTTCCTTGCACTCATCAGAAAGTTTTTTCTCCCCAAAAGTGCAGGGATTAAACTGACAATCTGTCTCCTCCCAATTTGGGCACTCGTGTTCCTCTTCCACGAATCCCCTAACAGTTTCAATCAGAGGAGATACTTCATATTTCCCTCCTGCTGCTACCAGATATGCCGGGCTGCTGATGTAAAATCATTGCCACAGGACAGTGACTGCTCATGTCCCAACTCATCAGTCAAGGACACCAGCCCAGCCTTACAGCAGGCCTTTCCTTTGCTCATGTGTCTCTTGTCTCTCCCTTCACAGCCTGTCCTGACACAAACATATCTTTTTAAAAGGTCTTTGACAGTTTTTTCTCTTTCTTTACCTCCTTGGTTGTGTTTGAAGCCCGAGCCATGGTAAATAGCCTACGGCTTGACTCATCTCTTTCTACCTCTGCCCTCCTAACTGTAATTACGAGATAATTTAGCAGTGATGCTCTGAAGCCAAGGCGATTGGTGAATTAACCTGAGGCAGCTCTAAGAAGTACCCTGTAGTATCTGCTGATGCACTTTGTCCATTTTTGCTTCCCTCTCTCATACTTCCTAATTACTTCAAAGCTTCATATAGCTTCCTGCATTCCCCATGTCTCTAAAAACAGCGTTCTACCCAGGCTTCTCTCATTAGGAAAGATCCAAACGCCTTAAAATATCTCCATCTATCAAAGACTTGGTTTTAGTTCCGGGTTGTTTTTTGTTTTTTCAGGCCTCTGATCTGGACCAAGTGCTGACCAGGCCACAAGAAAAAACAAATCAGTTAAAATGTTAAAAGAGCAAATATGTGTTTGTGTCCCCTCTCCCAGGTGATACAGTTGTGCTTATAGCAGAGGCCAACGAGAAACATATTTTAATGGAAGTTTTGCTCAGGGAGAAAACTGTAAGGTCACTGAAGACAATTGCAGATGGAGGTGTGTTTGTATGTGTTCATACGTGTTTATGAACGGGGTAGTTGATATGAAACAATTTGGGCAGACAGACCTAAATTTAGCTCTCAATTTATACCACACAAATGTCTATAGGCTTTAATTGTAAATGTGGACCATGATTTTATATGAATGATTAAGCCCATAAAAATGACTATATAGTTTATATTTTCCTTTTGGGAATTTTTCTATAACAACATTTGGGACACAGTCGCCAGCTGTTATTTAGCCAGCTCTACACCAGTCCCAGTGTTGACAGGGAAAAAAGGTGTTTGAATTTAAATACATGGTCCAAAATCTTCTAGTGACCCAATTGTTTAGAACCTACGTAGGCTTATGAAAATTCTGACTGGTAAATCACATGACCTGGAATTCCATCCCTCAGTAATAATTCAGTCACAACTTTCTCAACTTTCTCCCGAAAGACTTCTTTGATGCCCCACTACTCCCCCTAACCCCACATCCTGATCCTCTGCAACAACATTGAATGTGTTGCTTTCTCTTTCTCCCAACCACTCATTCACTCACCTGTTCCATCCTTATTGTTTATGTGGCTTTCTGCATTTCACCTGCAAATTTCCCAAGGGCAGGGACTTGTCTTAGCATGTTCAGGCTGCTATAACAAAGTACTATCAACTGGAGAGCTTCTAAACAACAGAAATTTATTTTTCACAGTTCTGAAGACTGGGAAGTCCAAGATCAAGGTGCCAACAGATTTGATGTCTGGTAAGGACCTGCATTTTGGTTTCATAGATGGCACTGTCTTGCTGTGTCTTCACTTGGTATAAGGGGTTAGCTCTGGGTTCTTTTATGAGGGCACTAATTCCATTCATGAAGGCTCCACCCTTATGACTTTATTATCTCCCAATGGCCCCATATTATAACGGTATCACCTTGGTGATTAGGTTTCAGTAATTGAAGTTGTGGGACATAAACATTCCGAAAATAGCCAGACTCTAATTTATCTTAAAGGATCGTCAGATACAGAATATATGAAAGCATATGTCTACATATCTTGTGATTTAGGACTTTCCTGGTGTGAATTGTGGAGAGAAGACTCATTAAAAATCAGGTAAGAGATACCACACTTTTCATGGCATCTTGTGAAATTCCTTTACTCCCCCCATGGAGGCCCATTTTTGAGATTCTATTCTAGGTTTCACTCACATAATTAGCAACTGTTGTTATAAACAAAAAGAATCCTTGGTACTCTGTAGTACATTCAAACATTGAAGGAAATACTTTTTAATTAAAACAACTTGTCTGGTGGGCAAGGTCATTTTATTTTCAAAATGTATAGGAAAACCCTTTAACTCCTAGTAATATAGTCTCCCTTATTCCTATAAATGGAAAGTTAGTAGTATGTAGAAATGTTACAACGTCAATTCAGGACAAGTTTTCTGAAGTTAACTTCTGCCAAAATTTGGGAAATAAGAAAATTTGGCTGTTGTACAAACAAATCTCTAGAGAAGAGACAACATAACAGGACTAGATAATGATGATTCTGCAAATGGATAATTAGGGATTACAGAGGGTGAAGAATTTTTACATTCCAGCGAAGGCATGAACCTGTAACGGCTTTTACAAAAACAAACAAACAAAGCATAGAAGAAACTTGGCCCCATGGAAGATAAACAGCTTCAGTGTATTCCTACCAGGAAAACATTTCGTTTCATTGTTCGAAAGTACCCCCCTGACATATATGTATGAATGAGTGACACTATTTAGTTGTTCTTAGCAAGAAATGTGTTTATTCTTCTAGTTTTTATATGTGTCACAAGTGAGATATACTGAATACTTTTTCTTAAGAAATATTTTTGATTTTCTTAAATGTGGAAATTGAAGAAAACAGTCACTTGGTGAGAGCAGCAGGAGGTAGCCAAATGCCCAGGCAGACAACGATGGGTCCCCAGTGAAACCCCACCTCCAAGCTGATGACTTCAAAGCCTGTCATCAGCTGTTATTAGCCTAAAAGCCAAGCTACAAGTTAAATCCTTGGCCCAAATTGACAACTCATCTTCCTGTTTAGCACACTTTCCACTGATTGATTCCTATCCTTCACCTATTTTATATTTATCTACCCTTTCCTAATTTCTACACAGTCGTCCCCACCTTTGAGTGATGTCTTCGATTTAACCTTTTTTGTATGCTCATAAACCAATCAGCATGCACTCCCATTCTGAGTCCATAAGAGGATGCAGACTTAGCCAGATGGGGGACTTTCCGGCCATTGAGTAGGGGACCCTCTGCCCCATTTGCCTTCTTTGCGGAGAGCTTTCCTTTTGCTTAATAAATTCTACTCAACTCACTCTTTGGTGTGTATGCACCTAATTCATCCTGGTGTTAAGAAAAGAACACGGACCTAGCTGAGCTAAGGAGCAGAAAGACCACAACACTGGGAAAGCAAAAGGTGAAAGCAGTAAGAATAGGCCCTAATAATTCCACAGAGACAGCAATCTGGTTGGTAAATCAAAAGAACTGAGCAAAATATTTAGAATACAAACGTTTTTGTAGATACAGAATTGAAGTGTCCAGAGTGTTTCAAAGTGTTTAGCGCTCTAATCTAAAACTCAGAGTGCTGGAAAGAAGAGGAATTTCACTTTTCTCCTGTGTGACCAAGCAACACAGAGAAATCAGATGAATCTGAGTTAGAAACAACCAATTTAAATAATGCAAATATAAAGTGATAATTGGGAGACTGAGGTGGTTATTAATTTATCAAAATTGTTATTTGGTTGACCACATTGATCCGATAGCCAGTTAATTAAATTTCTTCCTTTAGATATTTAAATAAAAGTATCCTCATTTTAATTGGATATAAGCCAAAAAGAAAAAGAAGATAAATTTTTGAATTAATATTTAGATTGTTTATGATGTTGATATATAGGCCACATACAATCTTAAGTATGAACAAAGATAAAAGTATGCCATCTTCTTGTCAAGATTACTTCTAGCTTTAAACATTCTGTAATTTCTAGGGTTTTCATAAATTATAGAAGTTTATGAGCTACAGGAGACCTTCTTTTTAACTTGTAACAATGCCCTATGCATTAAAAATTGTTAGATGCTTTGTGTCCCCTTTTTATATAAAGTATTTTAAAAATCTTGATTCATGAAAGATGGAATAGTACAAACAAAATATTTAAGCAAAATATGGAAAACTGAAAAAAAACATATATTTACCTATTAATTTGATTACATTTTACATAGTGCAGGATTACAAATATTAATTTTTAAATTAGAAGATAAAATATAAGAGTGCATTAGTAAGGCTAAATGTTGCTTTGTGAAGCTTTTCTTTCAGGTAACCAGAGTCTAGGGAAAATATAGAAATGTATTTATTGGGTTATGATGTGAAATGTATTTCTTGCTGAGAGTCACACTCAAAGAGTCAATTTAATTGTGTTACAATGTAACATACTCTCAAGATACTGGTTTCTAGGCTTGTTGTACATAAAATTCGATAATGAGCTGGGAAAATAACCCAATCAGCCTCTTATATTGGACATTTGTAAACAATGAGACAACACCTTATCAGCTTTTTTATTGAAGTGTTAACAGCCTTTGGCAGAAAAAAGATACTATACTAAGCAGAAAAATGTGACAGAGCTTTGAAGTGTGGAATTTATTCCGTTACACGTATACTACCATTCTTTTATGTAATGTTTTGACAAATTAAAAAAAAAATTTAGAAAAATTCTGCAGATAATATGACTCACATCTTTCATCATTTTCTCCAAGCATCCGCTACTTAAAAGCCATATAGGTAAACAGAAGTCACAAGTTCCCATTACTATCACAAGCATTGAAGGAGCTTCAAATCTATGAAAATATTGTTTTTCATACATTAGAAACTCATGTCAGAAGAATATCCAGTGTTGCATGATGTGCTGTACCATACTTGAAAATTTAGTCACTGAAAGTTAATTGAAATTTATCTGCATCCATTTCAAAGATGCATTAATTAGAGCAATGAATGATAAATTGTAATTCAGATGTTGAATCCAACTATGGAGGATCTATAGTTATTGAAATAGATCTAAAACACACACACAGACACACTGTATATAGCATTATAACATTTACAGGGCTATATTAATTAATTATATGTGAACATTGATATTTGGATACCAATGGATAGAACGAACCATGGCAAACCTTTTGTTTATATTTTCTAAATTTAGATATCACCCTAGCTACTCCAATCCTTATCCTGGATATACATCTTTGACTCAATTTTATTATAACACAATGCAAAAGATATTATAAATTATTAATATAATTAAGAATGACAAAAGATGTTTGGAGCTGAATGACAGCATCCAAAATTGAGTTTTTGAAATAAATTACTTGATAAAAAAATCAGAACTTATGAATGATATGGGAAAATACTGCTTCTTCTAAGTTAGTGTGAAATAGCTTTTTGTTTTGAAAGCCCAAGAAAACTTATCTGTTCAAAAGTCAAATGATGAGAGAAATTTGGACAGATGAATAGATGTATGCAGGTATGCATTAATAGTAGCCTTCTTTTTTTATTAGGTAATACACATAATTAATAATAATAATGACAGAATACATTCCTAAAGCACATTGAAGATAAGCACAAATGCACTATTGATCTAAAGTAATTGTGATGAACTTAATCACATTCTGGATTTAAAAGGCTTGCTAACAAATTTCATCACTTGAAAAGGATTCTAAACCCTTTTGGAGAATTTCAACTTCGAGTCCGGTGCAAAGAACAGAAAATTAAATGGAATGTGTTAAACTAAGATACAGTATATAGGCATAAAAAAGGCAGGAGAAATACCAAATGTGATGCTCATAATAAGGCAACAGGAATGTGCTGTATGCCATTAAAAAATAAACATTTGAAACATTACTTAATCCATGTTTTAAATGAATCCTAGGTAAAGGAGAAAATTTTATGATGAATGATTATTTTATGAACATTACCAAGATATAGTACTTTCCATGTATATATACAGACATATGATGTGTAAAAAATCTATAAATGTCTGTATATATATGCACACACATACATAAGTTCTGACACTATTTACACACAGACACATTGATACAATAATTGTTCAGCTGACTTAAAGTGATTCTGTCACAGATTTTTTTCCTACACAGATTTTTTTGTCCATTTCAGCCATCAGTTTGAAGCAAAATTCACACACAATGATATTTCTTGGGTCCTCCCTCTACTTTCTTGTTTCCAATATCACTCTCCCAATTCCAGCTTTCTTTAGCTCCATCATGATCTAGCTCAATCTACTTCTGTCTCAAGTTTTCCTCTTCCCTACTCCCTATGAGAACTTAGACAATTAGTACATAGATTTGAGCCGTAACTACTAAGGCATTCTCTTCACAAGACCCTTCAGTGGCCTTTCCAGTTAAGTACAACCCCTTCTCGCTAATAACATGTTCAACCTGCCCTTCACCTTCACCTCATAATGGTCAACTCGTGTTCTAAACTTCCATCAGTATGGTATGTTTACAATTCATTTAAACATTCATTTTAAATTTATTGCAAGTTGTGCGCTTTTGCAAGTTTTGTGCTTTTGTCCAGAATGCATGTTTTTATATTGGAAGGTCCTCAGTTTGTCAAAATCAACTCTGTTTTTAAAATCTCAAATACAATTTGCTGTATGAAGTTCTTTCTGAGTCCTTTATTGAAAAATTCGCTTTTTAAAAATCTGAAACCCACATCCTCTTATTTTTACTTCTCTTAAGGTACAGATATAGTTTTTTAGTACAGTGGAGATTCATCATACAATATATTTAAATGATGAATGTTCACTTAAACATATCAGACATTAACAACAGGAATGAGGATTTTGTGGCTTTTTTCAATTCAACTTATATTTTATGTGTCTTGTATTTTTGTTTCATTTCAGGGTTAAAAGACTCTGTAAACAAGCCAACAACCTCATCTGGGATTCAAGCAAAGGAACAGTATTATGCCCAAAAGAAAATGGACTGCACTGAACTCGCTAAGAGGTAATCTAACACACACAAAGCCATGTATACAGAAACTTACAAGAAATTTACAAAATTTTAAAAGATACTTTTTATGATACATAGTTTTTACATTAATCACTAATTTTGGAACCTAACTCTGGGTAAGCGTTTCTTTTATACTTTAATGGGCAGCATAATCATAAAGGTAGACTATGAATATTTTTCATCCTGAATGCCACAGTATCTTTAGTAGCACTGTGGACATAGTTGGCACTTATCTAACTTTGTTACTTGAAATAACAAGCAGTCAGACTGTCTAAAAAGCTATAAAACCAAACAGCAAAGTGGAAAACAACCATAGAAATCAAATAACCTATTAATTTTTTAAAAAGTAAAAATGGCTTGATTATTTTAGGGCTTGATTACAAAACTTATAGGTCTTTGAAAAGCTCATGTAGTTTAAAGAGCTCTTCACCTCTTCTTTACCTTCTAAATGGAAAATTCCTTAAGGACAGAAAGGATATTATATATTTTGGTATCCATTGAATACAATTCAGTATTTGGTACGTTTTCCATCTAATCTTTCAAAGAATAACTTAGCACTATGGTATGCTTTCAAAAAACAATCTCAACAGTTGAGATTTTAGTAGAAAATTGCAGAAATAATTGACTAATCAACTTTATTTCTTTAAACCTGAGCCTATTACCGAGGTTTGATATACATGCAAACAGTGAGTTCAATTTAAATATGGTTGATTGACAGAAATTAAGATGAAATGAGACTCTGTGTCACGGAGTGTACAGAAGCCACAGAAAACTCCGTGGCACAATTCCTTCTAAGTAGCAGCCACACCACAAAGAAGGTGAAAAGCAGTGGCAAATTCAGAAGTAGAAACTCATCTAAAAACAGCTGATCAGACAACATTAAATACAATAGCCACACCAGAAATAGCCCTTCTGGCTGCAGCCTCTCAAATACAAAGGGAAGCCAAGCCTATAAAAAATGGACTTGCTTTTATTTTGCTCAATTCCCCCCTCCCATTTTTACCTCTCCTGTCAAGTGCTCTAATTTTGGAAAGTCGCTATTTCAGATCAACTCCACGGAGGGCTGCATTTTGTCACTTTGCCATCAGCAACTCAAGCAGTCATGTCACTTTTGTTCATAGCTACTGTGTTACTGCCAAATTGGTCTGGGAAATTGAAAAACAGCATTAGAGGTAGTGCTCGTGAAAAAAAAATCCTATTTCTCCATTTGGCTTTTTTATTTCCCTCTTCAACTTTTTGATTATCTATTTCATTTCAGATCTATAGCTTGTTTTGCTTGAGAAAGGGATTTTCCTACTAGTTATCTTCATAAGGCAGATTTTAGGATGTCCAGATCCAAAGGCTCCTTCCTGTGTAATAAAATCTAACTCTTGGCCACTGCAGGAAGTGTAAAACTTGAACATTAAATTTTATTTAAATTGAATTATCATTTGAACCTTTAGTTTAGGGTAACCATGGCTAGAACTTACAACTATTACTATCAGAATGCTTGGATCAATTGAAGTTTTTTATTACTTCATTTGAACCTCTTATTCTTCGATATGTACAATTTGATGCAGAGAAAAATGTTACACAGATATAAAGTACATAAAGGTGAACTGCATTATGTCTCCATGTCAGATCTGTGCCTCACTTAAAGAAACAACAGACTATCAAAAATACTCGAAGAGCAATTTAATTTTTTCTTGTTTTCTTAAAAACGATCAATTTATAAAACAGAGTTAACCCTCTTGAAATCTGACTTTCTGATATCCTTTTAACACATATGCCTACACATGTCCCCACACTGTCTCTCTTCTCTCTAAGCTTTTCCTTTCCCGCCTGGGCCACTTGGATGATAATATTTTCTGCCTTGGCACACTCCCTGGCCCCTCCACACACACCCACATCTTTTACTCTATTATTGCTCCTTCATGGCAGTTTTCTCATTCAAGTGTAGATCAGTCTCCCCTGTCTGTCATCTCTAGTTTCCTACACCATTCAGTACTCTGATCAACATCACCAATAAGTGAAAGCAAGTAGGTAGAAGGTAGAGGTGGTGAAAAAGGTATAAATAGTGATCAGTTCCCTTTCCAACCACAATACTCCCCTCACCTCCGTTTACGTGCTTTGGTTAGAGCAGTCTTTCTTGTGCCTTCTCTATTACCTGGAGAGCTTTTTTTAAAAAATGCAATACCCAAGTCCTGCTCCAGACCAATCATGCCTGTCTCTGGAGTGGGAAACAGATGACATTTAAAAATCTTCCCAAGTGAATCCAATACACGATACACAAAGTTGAGAATCGCTGGTTGGGGACTTATTGTATCCTACAAAGCAGAGCATAATATGCTTTTTCTGAAGGATTGGGTCCTAGAGCAATGATAGAGTTAGTACTGGGAAGAGAAGGGGATGGTGAGTTGTGACTGATGATATAGGTGACTATCTGTTGGTATCAGGATTTAAAGTGAATGGGTCAACTAGAAGCTGTAGTTCGAATGTACTGCAAACTTAACCACCATTAGACACAGAGCTAACCCTCATGTTTTCGACTTCCCTGAGCAGGAAAAGTCAACAGCACCTAAAAGAGTCGTCTCTGCCCACAAAATAAGAAAAATTGCTTTAGTCCCTAGATTATTTTCCTTATGGATTCAGGGTGCAACTAGATGTCCCTTTACAAATGCAGAACTATCTCTGCCCGTTTTGTACCTATGCCTCCAAAATACTGAGACACAGAGGGCCAGGCAGCCACAGCAGTCCCTCTTGTATTCAGTGCTGTCACAAAGAAAGTAGTTTTCTTGGCATCTTGGTAATCCAAGATTAAGAGACAAACACACCTCTATCTATACAGGCACTTGGAGTCTATCTTCCCCCCTTAAATGAGTTCTGTAATTTAGTCTTAGTTTTATTTCCAAAGTACTGCAATATTTTCCCCATTTTCTGGCTCAACATTGATTAGATTAACAATGCTGCAAATTCAGGAAGTCTTTAAGTTTAAAATAGGTCCTAAAGCTATTGTGTCTGTCTGTCAGTCTATCTATCTACCTTAATAACTGTGCATGAAATGCCTCTAGTCACATCAGATTTTTCTACAAACTGTGCTACTTCTTCTGGCAGATTGCCACTGTTGAAATCTCTCCATGCTGTACCTATAAGTACCGTATCTTGTTGATGTGCAATTATGGATTCAGCATATGAACACAGACAAATCACTTGCCACCTATAGTTCCTAGGTCAGTAAGGTATGTTGTTATACAAACAAAAATCAGGTGACTTTCAGACCACAAACAACGCTAACATTACTGCAGGCCTTCACCTTGATGTATTTTTTTACCTTTTAATACTACTTCTAGGCCATATTAATAGCTCAATCTAATCTATATTTTAGCACTATTTCCTTCCTTCCTTCCTTCCTTCCTTCCTTCCTTCCTTCCTTCCTTCCTTCCTTCCCTCACCTCTCCCCTCCCCTCCCTTTCCCTTCCTTCCCCTCCCCTCCTCTTCCTTTTTTCTTCCTCCCTTCCTTGACAGATTCTCACTCTGTCACTTAGGCTGGAGTGCAGTAAAGTGATCTAGTTTCAGTGAAAATTCCACCTCCCAGGTTCAAGCCCTTCTTGTGCCTCAGCCTCCCATGTAGCTGGAATTACAAGTATGCATCATCATACCCAACTAATTTTTGTATTTTTAGTAGAGACAGGGTTTCACCATGTTAGCCAGGCTGGTTTTGAACTACTGACCTCAAGTGATCTGCCTGCTCAGGCTCCCAAAGTGCTGGATTACAGGGTGAGCCACAGCGCCCTGCCTTAGCACTATTTTCTTAATATTCTACAAGAAACTACATACACATTTCTCAAGTTTTTAATAGCAAATACCTGGTGTCAGCAGTTCTACTCGGAATAACAGACAAATTCCCAGGGAAATCTCTGTTACCAGAGCAGAGTAAATGACTTGAATTAGCCTAAACATAGCTACCATGCCCTCTATCATCCACCAAGAACTCCAATTTAAGAATGTCTGTGTTTGTGGAGGTGGAATAAGTTTCTAGCTTTCAATTTCATAAGGAACTGTATTAGGTCTCTGAATAGTCTTCAGTGATTCTCTCTGCAATAGTATTCTGAGAAGCATAAAATTTTGTAGGGTAAACCTTTACCCTTTGCACTATAAGTCTGGTGAGGTTGTAACCAGCTTAAAAATATGTTTTCGAGGTATTGATTTTTACTTGAAGTATAGCTGAGTACTGAAACTTAAAGGCTGCCTCCCAAAATGTAATCCACGTATAATTAGTCAAGGATACTCACAGTTCTATGTTGGCTCAACTCAAACATGCAAAGATATTTAGAAAGTAATTTAAACAATATTTAGAAAGTAACTTAAACATTTCATAATCCTCTCAAAATATTATAAAGAGGGATCATATTTGCAATGTATTGCTAAGTTCCTGAAATCTGTTTCTTCATCTCTTTTAAAGCAGCTGTTCTCAAAATATTTCTCTTTCACTCCAAACTCCCTAAAAAATCTTCCTTAAGAGAATCCTTTGGGCTCTGCACTCGTTCAATTCTCCTCTGCTTGCCAGGATTCATTGCTTTCTCCTAATATTCCCAGGTTCAAAGCAATAATGGGCAGGGCCTAAACCTATTAATATTCCCACATTAACTGTTTTTACATTAAAAGGTAATTTTTGCATCCAATCTACAGGTGACAATATAAACAATCAGAGATTAACATGAGGTTGGACAGTCCTCATAACTAATTAATTAATGCTAATATTACCTGTTTTTATGTAGATACGATGCCAGTAAATGTTTGAGAAACTTATATGTAACAAGCACTGAATACAGATTATCTCACTGATTTCAATATATTTGGAAATGCATAAATTGAGATTTACCTAATTGTGTCACAAATTCCAGAAAAGTAATGTTTCTTTTCCTGATAAAAGACACAAAATAAACTAGACTGAATGTGATGGCTTATGATTGGCCTGAATTAAAGTTAAGCCTAGCTGTGTCACTCTTAGATTCCTGGAAGCAAGATCAGCATCTGACTCACGCAAGTAAATTACGTGAATACAATCCAAGGATATTATTTACACCTTTCACATTGGAAGGCAAGAGGTAAACAAGTGGTCTCCTAG